CCGAGAGGTCGATTTCTACCCGCCGATTCAGGCGGGTAGTATAGACCTAGCCTAAGAAGCAATCAGATACCAGGCTTTTCTAGCAGCCAAAATTGTAACAGATCTCTTTCTAGGGAAATAATAGAAGTCTGCGTTTAGGACTGATTCTAGCGATAGTGAGGCTACAATTTCTTCCTCCATGTATGGCCAGGCTGTGGACCCTGAGTATCAGTGAATTAGTTGTTGTGTCGTTTAGCTCAAGATTGAGGATATATAGTAAAGCCTAACGAAGAGCAGACCAAAGCCTCCTGATTTAATAAGCAGCTACATTTTTTCAAAGGATAACCTGGACTTGTTGCCCACACCCCGCAAGAAGGACTTTAAAATGTTGTTAATTCGGGGGTGGGGGTGGGAATAGAAAAGGGAATATAAACTAGCAAGGAGCTAAGAACAAATAGAAGTCTCAGGAAGACATTGGTTTCTTATATATTAACTCTTCCCCAAAAGGATGGGGGGGGGCGAATATTTATGTAAATCCAAAGCTATCTGTGAGATAAAAGGACTGACATTAATTTTCACCGTATCTTTTCTGTTCCTTGGAAATAGGACTTCCAAGTACTTGATTTCTGCATGCTGCCAGAGAAAAGTATTATCTAAGAGGGCGACATTATGATCCCTCTAGAGACAAAGAGCCTCTGACTTGTGCCAATCTATTTTGTACCATGAGATTTTCCCAAACAATTCAGTAGTTTGTAGGATGTTGGAGATAGGTGCTGAATAAAAGTATATCAGCATATAAGCATATTTTTCTGTCTTGAGACCCTATTTTTATACCCTATATCCTTTGATGCACTCTAATTTGTATGCCAGCAGCTCTAAGGCCAAATCAAACACAAGTGGGGACATGGGACAGCCCTGTCTAGTACCACAGTGGAGATTGGAAGGAAGGGGTATATAGTTTTTAACTACAACATGGGAGCTAGTATTGGAATACAAAAATCTAATTTAGGGAATGAAAGGGGGACCAAATCCAAATGTTTGTAGAATGAGGAACAAATATCTCCAATTAACCCAATCAAAGGCTTTTTCCACATCCAGCAACAGGACAGCAATCAGTTTTGAGGGGGAGTGATAATAGGACAGCATATTGATAAATTGACAAGTGTTGTCCATCCCATGTCTCTTTTGTAGAAAACCCACCTAGTCCAGGTGTATTATGGTTCTTGTTATTTTTTCTAATTGGCCACCTAGAATTTTAGACAATATGTTAATGCAATAGTTGATTAAGGATATTGGTCAATAGCTAGCACATTCTTTGAACATCTTTTTCAGTCTTAAGCCTGACTAAGGCTTCATTCATTAAGAAGGCAAAGTGCCTCTATCAAAAGCTTCCGTATATAATTCAACCAATCTGGGAGCCAGAGTGTCTTTGAACTGAGCATAAAATTCACCTGGAAATCTTTCTATGCCTGGAGCCTTACCTGATTTCATGTTGCCTAGGGCAACCATATTTTCAGAGGTAATTAATGAGTAATAAACTGCTGATTTTGAGTGTATTTCTCAAGTAATTGATCATCAGGGGGGTCTTTCTCTAAATACAAGCACTGGTAACATTTGGAGAATTGTTCATTAGTACTTTTATAATCAGTGAGTATCTGACCCTGAGTAGAGCCAATTGAGGGGATTTTAGTTTTTAGTGATGTCTGTGTGCTAATAATTTCACAGCATTGTTGCCAGATTCCCAGTATGTCAGTTTTAGTCTAAATAAAGCAAATTC